TTGAAGGTATATGAAGACGAGTAATTATTTGCTATTTTAAAAATACAAATAATTATTATATTTTTACACAGACTTGAAAGCGAATATTTATTAAAAACCCCAAAATATTAATGCAATTAAACCAAAGGAATTTTACCCTGTAAAATCCAAGTTCGAAAATAACTTTGACGGTAGTATTAAGCCGGGAAAATTTGGAGTATGACACCTATCGTGTGACATTTTTGATGATGAGTAACATCCTAAACATGAATATGTGCTTCCTATATGCTTTATTCTATAATATTAAGCACATGGTTTTAGGGTGTTACACACCATATTGAGTGTTTACACATAGTGTCTTCCTAAGATACAATTGTAGATACTCTTACATTTGGACTACCAAAAAATGTAGATCGATTTGTCCTAGTGCCTCTTCCTTTCCCAAGTGTGATCATTAGTTAATGTACCTCGAAGGGCGAGTTACAGTTTTGTTAAAGGCTTATAGTTTGGATCTTTTGTATGATGATAAATTCTTCCTCTTCAACCTAAGCTTCTAAAAAATCTTTATATGCATGATTTCACATGAGCTCCCTATGTCTATGAGAGTTTTAGATATGTCGAAGTTGGCCATAGACGTTGATATTACTAGGGGAAATATTTCGTTCGATATTTTTCCCACGTTTTCACTATCATGGAACTAAAGGATAAGTCTCTCCAATTTTCCTTTAAAATTCGCCTCTCGTTCTCTGCTGAACACCATTAGCTCGACGATTCTTCTCTCCAGTAATGGATGTGATGTACTTCTGCTTCCCTTTTCAGTATTTTTCTTCTTTATTGCTATTATCCTTCTTCTCTATGGCCCCATTGAAAACCTCTATAGTCTTCTTAAGAGACCCTTTTTTCTAGTGAGGCGATCGTTTCTTGCTTTATTTCTTTCTCGCTCATCTTTTCGACCATCCTCATGAGTGTACCAATTCTAACAAAAATACCTTGTTTTTTCAATCTTGATAGATTCCTTGAAAGAATTGAGGTTTCTTATTCCAACTTCCTTAAAGTCCGTATTTGAACGATCTTTTAGAATTTTCTCATATCAAGTATTCATGGAGTATATGACGAGAACCTGGCTTGAGGTCTCTTGCCCCATTATCCCAACTGTAGTTCTTATCTCTTTATAGTTCCCCACCATTTAATAGGTGTCATGCTCCCTAGACTGTTTAGACATCTTCTGTCATGATTTCTTCCTCTTAATGGATGTAGGGTTGGGCCCTTGTTAAATGATTGTTTAAGCTACAAACCCCTTCTAGCCCTAACTTCTCGTAGAACATACATTCCAATCTTAGTCCGTTTTTAAATATCCAACATTTTCATCAATCATTTATTTCCCCCACTTTCACTGCTACTTTGGTGAACCAATTGATGTACTTTTATATGGTCTCCATCTACTTCTACCAAATTCCACTGAGTACGACTATTTTAGTGGGTTGCACTTTCCGTCAATGAATTAGAGTGAATTAGGTAACAAAAGAGTCGCAAAGTTCCCCCGAGGAGTTTATGCTTCCATCTATGGGGCTTTGTGTTAAGACTATAGAAAAATGAGATAGTTTTACTGTAATTCTGTGGATAAAAAGAGCTTTACTAATATTGCTATTTTTAGTTAGTTAGTTACAACTTTCTGATTGGTTGTTAAGTGATAGCAACACATTATATATGGATAAGGCTATCACACGTGTAATACAAAAAAACTATCATTCTTTTGCTCATTATCTTCTTCCCACTTCTTTTTCATTTCTTGCTATTTTCTTCTTCAATGCTGAAATATTTCCTTCTTCAATGGTGAAATAGCTCCACCATAATATGGTATCATTCTCCAATTCGATCCTTACTCCGTTGTTTTTATATTGAAGCTCTATTTCGTGCGTCCTTCCCTCTGCATCCATGGCTCCTCCTCGAGCTTCACCTATTGATCCAGCTTTAGATCAAACTTCACCATTCTTTGTTCATCCCAGTGATGGCCCCGGTTCGGTTACAGTTCTTCCTAAGCTTACTGGCTCTAACTATCACTCATGGGCTCAAAGCATGAAGAGGGCGCTCGATGGAAAAATGAAGATTGAGTTCATTGATGGATCTCTTCCTGCTCCCGTTGATTCTTTCGATCCATCCTTGCGTGCTTGGAATCGCTGCAACATGTTAGTTCATTCTTGGATCATGAATTCAGTTTTAGATTCCATTTCACAGTCCATCATCTTCTTGGAGAATTCGCTTGATGTATGAATGACTTGAAAGAACGGTTCTCTCAGGGCGATCTCATCCGTATTTCTGAGCTACAACAAGAAATATACAACCTCAAGCAAGAAACCAAATCGGTAACTGATTTCTTTTCTGAACTTAAAATTCTTTAGGAAGAATTAGATTTGTATTTGCCTTTACCAACTTGCACATGCCACATCAAATGCTCTTGTGAATCTATGCGCAGTGCAAGATCCAACCATCAACTAATGCAAGTTATCAGATTTTTGAATGGTTTGAATGATCAATTTGTTGTTGTTAAGTCCCAAATTTTGTTAGTGGATCCTTTGCCAAATATGAATAAGATATTCTCCATGGTTATTCAACATGAGAGACAACTTCAGCTTCCTATTTCCAATTATGAGTCCCAAACTTTGATTAATGTTGTTGATTCCAAGAAATATGGTGCAAGAAACAATACATTCATGCATGGAGCTCGTGTCTGCATTTTCTGTGGAAAGAATAATCACACTGTTGAAAATTGCTTCAAGAAACATGGTGTTCCACCACATATGCAGAAGCAGTTTCAGAATTCAGCTAACAATGTTGCATCAGATGATAATGATGATGGATCTTCTTCTAATGGCGCTGACATCAAAAGTGATAATTCACCTATGACTCAAGGTCAATTCAATACTCTAATGGAGCTAATTCATAAATCCAACATTGGCCAATCTTCAGGATGTGCTTCTTCTAATCAAGTTGTTGTTGGTCATCTATCAACATGTAACACCTCTCATTGCATGCATAGTAGTAGTAATAGTTCTTGGATCATTGATTCAAAAGCTTCGGATCATATATGTAGTTCTATCAGATGGTTTCACTCATATAAGCAAATTGTTCCAATCAGTGTTAGATTGCCAAATGGACAATGTCTTGTTGCTAGCTATTCTGGTACAATTCATTTTTCCCCTGATTTCATTGTGCACAATTTCCTTTTGCTTCCTGAGTTTTCTTTAAATCTTTTACCTGTTTCCAAACTTTGTGAATCTTCTAATTGCAATGTCAGTTTTCTCAACTCACAATGTTTTATATAGGACAAAGTCACCCTGAGGATGACTGGTTCTGCTGAGCAAAAGGATGGATTGTACTACTTAACACTAAGAGATAATGCTTCACCTGCTATAGCAGCCACAGTCACCTTACCTGAAAAATCCTTATGGCATTTTAGATTAAGGCACTTATCCAATAACATACTTTTGTACCTACATTCCCAGTTTCCCTTTATCACAGTTAACCATAAAGATGTTTGTGATGTATGTAGTTATGCTAGACAAAGAAAACTTTCCTATACTATTAGTAATAATAGAGCTGCTCATCCTTATGAATTGATTCATTTTGATATTTGGGGACCTCTTGTTGTCCAATCCTTGCATGTTCATTCATATTTTTTAACTATTGTTGATGATTGTAGCATATTCACATGGATAACCTTAATGAAAGCTAAGTCTGAAGCTAGACAACATGTCAAAAATTTTGTCAGTCTCATAGAAAATCAACATCAGTTTTCCGTCAAAATTATCGAACTGATAATGGTGCTGGATTTCATATTCCTGAATTTTATGCTTCTAAGGGAATCATTCATCAGACCAGTTGTGTTGAATCTCCACAACAAAATGGTAGAGTGGAGAGGAAACATCAACATTTATTAAATGTTGGACGAGCCCTTCTCTTTCAGTCCAAGCTTCCCAAGAAATTTTGGTCATATGCTATTTTGCATGCCACCTTCATTATAAATAAACTCCCTACCAAAACTTTAAATAACCTTTCTCCTTATTTCATACTACATAATAAGCATCCAGATATGCATAGCCTCAAAGTGTTTGGATCTTTAGCTTTTGCATCCTCCTTAAATGTGCATAGATCAAAACTTGATTCAAGAGCTCGCAAATGTGTTTTCTTAGGATACAAGAATGGAATGAAGGGTGTGGTACTCTATGATATTAATAATCATACCATTCTTGTCTCTAGAAATGTTATACACTATGAACACATATTTCCCTATTCAAATACCAATTCTATTAACTAGGACTATCATCTTCACAAAGAATCCATTGACTCACCTCAACATGTTCCATCAGAGAATATTCCACCTATTATTGAAGAACATGATCATCACAATACCATAGCCAATGACACATTATATCACTCTAACACTGACCCTGAAACTGTAGAAAACACTGATGAGAACCATGACCTTCAACATATGCCTGATACTAAAAATTACAAAACTCAGTCTTGACCTGTTAGAACCAAACAAACACCCCATTATCTCTCAGATTATGTGTGCAATACATCTGATGTATCAGCAGTCAAGTCATTATCAGGTACATCCAAATTTATTTATCCAATTTCAAATTATGACTCATTACATTTTCTGTTTGCATCTCATCGTGCTTTTGCATCTAATATCACTCTCATTCATGAGCCAAAGACTTACAAAGAAGCATGTATATCTGAACATTGGACCAAAGCCATGAAGACTGAATTAGATGCATTAGTTAAGAATAGAACTTGGAATATAGTTGATTTTCCACCACATGTCAAACCAATTGGTAACAGATGGGTGTACAAAGTGAAGCATAGAGCAGATGGCACGATAGAGAGGTATAAAGCGCGACTTATGGCCAAAGTCTACAATCAAATCAAAGGACTTGATTTTGTTTGACACATTTTCACCAGTAGCAAAGCTTACAACTGTCAGAACCCTCCTTGCGACTGCAACTATCAACAATTGTTTTTTACACCAACTTGACGTTAACAATGCTTTTTTACACGGGGAATTGAAAGAAGATGTGTACATGACCATACCTGAAGGAGTTCCATGTCACAAACCTAATCAGGTATGTAAACTTCAGAAGAGTTTATATGGTCTGAAGGAAGCAAGTCGCAAATGGTATGAAAAGTTAACTACTCTTTTATTGCACCAAGGGTACACTCAATCTACTTCTGATTACTCCCTTTTTACTTTGAAAACTGATGCATATTTCACAACAATTTTAGTATATGTTGATGACATAATCTTAGCTGGCACTTCTATGTCTGAATTTGATCGTATCAAGCTCATTCTAGATGAAACGTTTAGTATCAAAGACATGGGACTATTGAGGTGTTTTCTTGGCCTTGAGGTTGCTCACTCAAAGGCAGGCATTTCTTTATCACGACAAAAATATTGTCTTGATCTCTTGCGGGAATCTGGTATGCTTGGATCTAAACCAGCTCCCACACCTCTTGATTCATCTGTCAAGCTACATGCTGATAGTGGCAAAGCCTTTGAAGACATTGGAGCTTATAGGCGTTTAATAGGTCGCTTGTTGTATCTTAACACAACACGTCCATACATTACATATGCCACCCAACAACTCAGCCAGTTTCTTCACAATCCAACAATGACACACTACCATGCTGCTTGCAGAGTCATACGCTACTTGAAGAATAACCCTGGTAGAGGAATTCTGTTTCGTAGGAATGCTGAATTGCAACTTCTTGGTTTCTCAGATTCAGATTGGACAGGGTGTATTGATTCAAGAAAGTCTATTTCGGGCTATTGCTTTTTCCTTGGAACTTCTCTTATATCATGGCGTGCGAAGAAGCAAGATACTGTTTCCAGATCATCTTCAGAGGCAGAGTATCGGGCACTATCTTTTGCTACATGTGAACTGCTTTGGTTGATAGCTCTCATGAAGGAATTGCACATCACATGTACCAAACTCTCTGTCCTGTACTGCGACAGCCAAAGTGCAATGCATATTGCACTCAATCCGGTATTTCACGAACGAACCAAGCACCTTGAGATTGACTGTCATTTAGTCTGTGAAAAACTGCAGCAAGGCTTACTTCGGCTTCTACCAATTTCAACTCATGAGCAACTAGCTGATTTCCTAACCAAAGCTTTATCCACTTCAACTTTCAACAAGTTCATTTCTAAGCTTGGCATGATCAACATCCACCATGCTTAGCTTGAGAGGGGCTGTTAAGACTATAGAAAAATGGGATAGTTTTACTGTAATTCTATGGATAAAAAGAGCTTTATTAATATTGCTATTTTTAGTTAGTTAGTTATAACTTTCTGATTGGTTGTTAAGTGATAACAACACACTATATAGGGATAAGGCTATCATACGTGTAATACAAAAAAAAAACTATCATTCTTTTGCTCATTATCTTCTTCCCTCTTCTTTTTCATTTCTTTCTATTTTCTTCTTCAATGCTGAAATATTTCCTTCTTCAATGGTAAAATAGCTTCACCACAATACTTTGAGCCACGTCATCGCGGTTCCTTTGAGAGTTAGCACTGACATTTTACATTTCACGACCCCGTGCATGATAGTAATCAAGTCTAGTGTCTACATGCTTCATACGCTTGTTCGAGTCTCTTGAACCGTCATAGTTGTCCAACTTAGGAGGTTACTCAAAAGATTTTGGGATCATACTATCGAGAACGTGCCTCGATAACAATTTCCTCTTCTTTTGGGGAACTTGCGCTTCAATTCCATGTAATGGAGTAGCATGGCGGAAAGTGACAAGGACGAAGGATCTCTGGTGGAGTGTGACTGCCTCCTCTTCCCTATGACTCGTGTGGAAATATGTGATTTTCTGATCTAGGGATCCAGGGGCCATTTCGCACGAGGAGAGGGCTTTAGAGTGGTTGTTAAAAAGATTTCAAAATCAAAAGAATTTGAAAATTCTTTATTCGATCGTAGGAGGGACCGGATCTTGTGGTGGTGTAGGTTTATCTTATACAAATATTAAAAATAATATTATTTTTTTTACTATAAGGGATAGGTTTAACTTAACCAAATATTAAAATGTATTCTTATCCAAAACAATGAGCTAAGTGTCAAAAATGATTATATTGGTTGTTGAAAAGTGGTGTTAATTGATTGTTAAAAGTTAAAACCATTTTATATGTGCTTGCTTAGTCATTTACTTGGACTTGGAACACATTCTTACGAATGAAAGAACTAACGCAAACTAATTCACTATGCAAAAAAAAAAAATCATATCATAAGATACCAAGATCCTTATTAGACAAGTTACAAAAATACTAGTTTCCTAAAGAAAGGAAGAACAAATACATCATAACAAAGAAAAACCCTGAGGACAGTCACAAAACAATAAATCCAGTTGTATGATATTCAATCAGAGGCAACAATCCAGGGCACAACAACAACATAATCCAGCACAACTGCAAAAAAAGATAAATATATTGTGAGAAATAAAAAAAATTATTATTATTAATAAGTAGTCATATGATATGATATGATAATATGATTAAACTCACCATCCTTTCCAGAAACCATCACCTCTACTAGTTGTTTTGACTGGAACAGTTTGTTGGGGATCATCTTTGGTGGGATAACCCATAGGTGGTGGTGGAGCAACTTGTTCGTTCTTCTCACCCATTGCTGGATATCAAATTAACAACACTCAAATACAATCGTTGATGGATTATTTAAATATAATAAAAAAGAAAAACTCACCAGGAGATTGTTGTTGATTGATATTTTGATTCATTGCTATTGATTTTTTTTTTATATAGCAAAGTCAAAAGTGTGTGTGAGTGAGATTAAATTGGATGATGAGAATAACGGATAGAATATGTGTGTATATATATATATATATATATATATATGTATTTGCGTAGCGGTGAAGGAATAGAAAAAAACACGTTTTTAGGTGACCAGAAATAAGAGAACTTCTTGGAAACAGCCTCTAAAGTAAGAACTTAATTAACTGATGGTCTATCCTGATCATTTGTTCCGTCTGCTCATAGAATGGAAGCTACTTTTTCCTTATGCACATGTAATGAAAGCTACTTAATTGTTGCAACTTGGCAACTTGCTAAAGCAAGTAAGTATTTGGTGTAGGTTATGACTATTTTGTATTCAAATAAAATTGATTCAAAGATGATGTGCTTGTTAGATTTATCTAATATCTTGTCTACGCAATTAATTGATGATGTGCTTGTTAGATTTATCTAATATCTTGTCTATGCAATTAATTATTATTTTAGTTTGTGAAAAATAGATTAATCATGATTTTAATAGGATGTATAATAGATTTTTTTATTGGTTAATTGATCATATTAATTAGAGTCTGAGTATTAGAAATCTGACGTGAGAGAAAGATTGGGCTTTATTATAGTATATGAATACAGGAATACAAAATGAAGATAGAAACTTCATTGATGTATTGAGTTGATTACATGAAGAGAGCAAAAGGAAATTGAAAAACAATTACACTACTAACTAACTTATGAATAGTTAGTTATTCCACGAAATTACTTTTCAACTAACTATTACAAAAAGGCAAAATATCATAATACCCCCCCTCAAATTGGGAGATATATGTTGTGACTTTTCAACTTGGATGTCAAGTGATGAAACGAGTTTCTTGGAAGGGCTTTAGTAAGGGGATCTGCTAACTGGTACTTGAATGGAATGTAATCAATTTGATGAAGTTTGAAGCTACATGTTCTCGAATAAAATGACTGTCAATGTCAATACGTTTTGCTCTTTCATGGCTCATGGGATTGCTTATCATTTGAATGGCTAAGGTACAGTCACAGAAAACCTTACACGTGAAAATATTGATGTCAAAATCTCTCAACAGTTGTTTTAACCATAATAGTTCAATTGTTGTAGAACCTAAAGCTCTACATTATGCTTCAGCAGATGATCTTGAGATGATTGTTTGCTTCTTAGATCTCCAAGCTGCCAAAGATTCACCAATGAAGATGCAGAATTGTATAGTGGATTTTTTGGTAGTGGTGCAGCTTTCCCAATCTGCATCTGAATATGTTGAAACATGAAGTGTTTGATTTGCAGAAAATAGGATTCCTTGGCCTGGTGTACCTTTCAGGTATTGTAGGAGATGATGGATTCCATTCAAGTGTGGTTGCCTTGGTTTAACTATGTATTGACTAAGTTTATTTACTGAAAATAAAATATCTATCCTGGAAATGGTAAGATATAGCAGTCTACCAATTATTCTTCTACATTGAGATACATCTTCAAGTAATGATTCATCTTCATCATTAAGAACATCATTAGGATCCATAGGCAGAGAATATGGCTTGGCATTGTGTAGCGGTAAAATCAATAAAGTCGCCACCGAGTATTTATTTATCCCACATAAAAGGAAAGGAAAATCATCGAAGAAAAACTTGAAGGGAGAAACCAAGGGCTTGCGACCGAGATATCGGGTACGGAAGTCGATTACGCGAGGGGAATGTATTAGAACCCCTCACATTTGTAGTACTCTACGAGATCCACTCTTGTTGTTCTAATCAAAGAGTGTCTTTAACCTAATGCTTAAGAGATAAAAGAAAAATGAAAAGAAGGAATACATGCAAAGAAAACACGGGGAAAAGAAGAAAATATTTACAAAGTTTTGATGGGATGAGCTCCGTGACCAGATGCATAGGTATCCCTTTTAAGGAATCAGAGCATCATAGTTCGGCTAACAAATTTCCGTTTATTTGTATTTTTATATGAACAATATTAAATTCAATTATTCCACTACCGCTCGACCATTGGAGACTCAAGCACTGTAGTGGAAAGGAATTAACACGTTCTTAGAAGAGAAAAGCCAAATGGAGAAAATAAATGAATTAGTTGGTGTTTTTTTACTGTGAAAATGATTTTTATATGGTCAGCATGTTTTATACATTTGCCAAGAAAAAGAAGTTTTAGTTTTAAATGCAATTATGCAAAATAGGAATAAAACACCAAAGGGAGACTAACCTATCTCTAACCTAGGGTTATCATACAATGGTGGCCCTATGTCAAGAATGGAAAGGGAAATCTCAACCCTATGTTAGCATGCATGGATAACTATCCTAATGTATAGTTAGAAAGCTACCCTAATTGAGCAACCCTAAGGGAACATGCAAAGATCGAAGTTGTTATCTCAATTCTAATTGAGTGACATCATTAATCGCCAACAAAGGAAAATAAAAATCCTAATGGAAGCATAAAAAGATCGAAGCCGTTATCTCAATTCTAATTGAGTGACATCCTTGATCGCCAACAAAAGAAAATAAAAATCCTAAGGGGAGCATGAAAAGATCGAAGTCGTTATCTCAATTATAATTGAGTGAAATCATCGATCGTCAATCCATGAAAACAAACACAAACACAACTAGCAAACTAGTGTGTACAATTTTCACGATCTATTACTACTTACCGAAAATGCCCCAAATCTGGGTATAGGATCTTTATAAGAATAACCCAAACAACCCTTAAAGATAAATCATACAAGTCAAAAAAATAAAGCAATAAAGGTGATCTAGCTTTTAAGGTAACCCCACTTTTAGGAATTCCCCAGCAGAGTCGCCAGTTCTGTAATACAGTGGGAGAACTGACTTTTGGTTTTGCATTTTATTACAAATGTTGTGGATAGCAAGAGTCGCTACCGACTTTTCTTTTATCTAATAAAGGAAAGGGTGAAAAGAACATGAAAGACCTTTGAGAATTTTCTGAGTAAGGGGGGTAAGTTATGAAAAGGGAAGGTATAAGCACCATTTCATCCATAGTTATCTACGGGCTCTTAATCGCTAGCTCACTTTTGAAAATGCTTTGTGAATGTGTAAGTTTTGAAAATATTTTGAAAAAATTCTTAAGTGCGGAAATTTTGTAATGATTCTCGTATCAACTGAGAATGTGTACAAAAATTTTTATTTTGAAAATATTTCAGAAAAAAAAAGTCTTTTGTGAAAATGTTTTGTTTTTTTGTGTGAGCAAGCAATTAACAGTTCCACCCTTACTCTAATGTTTTTCGTGTTATTTTCCTCCTCCTTTAGATAATGCTATCCTATCATTAGTTAGTAGGAAGCCCTATCGTTGGATGTTTGAGGGACAGACGCGGGTCATTGTACAGTCGTAGAAGGCAACTCGCAGGATGCTTTAGCAATTGTCGTAAGGGACTAAGATCTTTTGCCGAGGCAGCATCGAAGGGTCATTGAGGGACTATAATATTTTTAACCGAAGGGTCTTTGCTAAAGCATCCACATTCGAGGCAACAAGTGAGGGTCACCCTAGAGGTGCGCGTGTGCAAAATGTGTTATGTTTCAGTTATTTTAATCTTGGATTTATGGTTATCTAGTGTTTGCTTTTAGTCTTTGTCATACAATCCTATTACTAGCAGTTATATATATACATACATTCATACATAAATGCGGAAAGTAAAAATGTAGGAAAAGAAATCTACACTATAACAATGCTTCGGGGATGGGGAGTACAAACCTTAAAACGGAGGAAAAGTAAAGTAAACCCTAATTTCAAACTATTACATGACTATGAAAGTAACAATGCGAAAATAGATAAACACGCAAAGATTGTGAAAAAAAGGGAAAGTATAAAATCCTAAAAAATTTCTAAGTGTTAGAAAAGTATTTTTGGTGTTTTTGTTTAGAAAAATGTTTTTAGTGTAAAATAATAATTAAACCTAATTCTAATTAGTTTACTAATTAATTAATAAAATAAAACAAAAATGTGATTAAATTTAATTAATTTTAATTATCAAAAATTAAATTAATTAATCAAAAACTAAATCTAATTTTTAGTGATTTTTCTGATAAAAAAATATTTAATTAATTATTTTTCAAAAAAAGTTAATTATCTAAATAAAATAATTATTAAAAAAACAAAAAAATGAATGGGGTTGGAGTATAAGCAAATTGGGAGGGTGTGAGAATTCTTAACTCAATGGGCCCAAACAAGTGAACCCAGATGGCTTGCGTTGGATCTGATGAAGAAGGCTCCCTAAAGGTTCATGGTGGGGTGTGCATTTGAGGCGTTAGATCTGAAATCCTGAGATCTGATGGTCAGGATATGAGGTACACTGTGCTTGCTTGAACCTGGTTAGAACGGGATCTGAAATAACAAAGTATTGAAAAATAATATGCAAGGGGCAGGGATCGAACCCGTGCCCTGACATACTAATGCTTTAACACATACACGCTTGCCACTAGAGCGACCATTACATCCGATACCTAAACCAAACAAAAATAATAAAAACACAGAATGAAGTATATGGTCGGAGAAGCGTCGGAGCCCTAACTCTGATCGTCTTCTCCTGCAAGCTGGAAACATAAAAACTGCACAAATCAAGATGTTAATGATATAAAATGACATGTCCCCCCTAATTCGACCCTCCTGAGTTCGAATATGGGGTTATGCTGGTCTGAAACATCCTATATCATGAGATCTGAAACAAAGTGTTCTTGATGACCTAACAATGGCATAGCGTGATTTCTGCGTCTAATCTCACATGTAACACGTTAGTACTGTTCTAATGATGCATAGGAGAAGATTAAACAGATTAGCCAAGATTAAAACTACAAGAAATCAGAGTTTAGATTTTTACCAACTTTGACAATCGGTGTGATGAAGAGGTCACGTTCTGGTGCTTGAGAGAGACGGTTGTGGACTCAGATTAACTCTTTTGATCCTCAGGGGATGAATGCTGGCCTTAGTTTTAATTGATAAGGGTTGGAAGTTATGTTACAAATT